CACCAAAGGGAGCTATCACGGATAAGGAAAAAGATCTGATATCAGTACGTTGCTATTTACTGATAAAACCTATTTGCTAAACAAAACGAAATTGATTATTAGTTCATCGTCATTATTGCCATTAATTGACGCGCATAATTATTAATAATAATATAAATAATAATACATTCCTAATTATTATATCCCACCTATTAATCAAAGAACAAACTGAATCAATATAGCATAAAATGCATGATTTTCATAATCTACCAAATATTCATAAGTAAAAATTATTTATTTCTTTACTTAGATGAAGTAAAATTACGGAAAAGAAAAGAAGTAGAGGAATAGATTGTCGTCTGGCTCAGATCGTTATTTAAATGGTGGAGTATAACGGTAAAAGCTTTTTAAGATAATAATTGTCAATTTTTAGCCACGAAAGGATAAAAAATTAAGCAAAGAATCGAAGAAACAAGCGATGGGTGACATTCGCAGCAGCGATGACCCGACGAAATCTGTCATCGAATCAACTATCTCACGTTCTGCTAGTGATAATGCTAAAAGCAGAAAGTCATCAAATTTCCTAAAAACTGATACGAAATCAACTGAAAATAAAAAAGTTTCTTCGTTTTTCTTTCCTTTTTTTTTTTTTTTTTTAACCGAATAATTTCAAATTTAAATAATTTTGTTCCATTTCGCATAAAATTACTCATAACTGGTCATACATTTAAATTTAATACTTATGTTTGTTATTTTCAAATATAAATTTAAAATATAATAATAACAATAGTTGCTATCTTCACAACATGTCTCTAATGCACTTCCCATCATTCCTAACGTTCTTTACAGCGCGTTCCGTGTTTGAGGGCACGTGTTTTCATTCCCGTGATGCCACGTTAGTTTCGGATTTGTAAAATGAGATTTTATTATCTCTCCGCAAGATCATCATGTGAAGTCGTGAGAAGACTTAATTTGCATTTCAACCGTATCATGATAATTTTATTTTTAATGTTAAAAAAAATTTTTTTCGGAAAAGTATACTTTTCAGGTACAAACAGTACACCCATTGAATGAAAAACGTCGTTTTGGTAACGTCTTTTACCCTGGTTATGGCGGACGTGGTTTCATTAACTGCGGGTAAATTCTCATTCACTTAACGTTTTTCCATCACCCAACTATTTCATATTATTTTCAACAAAACACTTTTATGCACTGTAAAAGGAGAAAAATGCATCTCATCTGAAATTCAAAATTTTTAAGTTTTATAATTTCCATTTTTTCTCTTTTTTTTTTTTTTTTTTTTTTTTTTTTTTTTTATTATACAAATCTTTTGATTTACATTAAGGTATGAAAGAAATAAAAGCATAAGTAAAAAGAGAAAAGAAGAAAAACAAGAGAAATTATCGTTTCAAGTTTCTTTAAAGCTTTTTTCAATTCTTCTTTCTTGAAAGTTCCTAGGCTGTTCAGTTATATCATGAATGCAAAAATATTTATAAGTATTGGATAGGTCTCGTTCAACAATTTACACTTCACGTGATTACTGGCGTCCTCACTCGACCATTAGCTACAACGGCAATGGTTCGCGGCGGTGGTATCCTGGTGCAATGAGTGATCACACTAAAGATATTGTAACTAGAAATGCACCTGAAAAACACAGCGCTGGAAATGGAAATGAACGTACTGCTGCCAACTTTGAGTCATCAAAAAATGCTAACTTGTATGCAAATTCATTCAGATAACATGCAAAAATCCTGAGAGTAATACATCCTATATCCAGAATTTTATTCCTTTTTAGTAATCTTTACAGAGAACAAAATTTCGATTAGCCATAATGAATGATAATTATATTTTATTTTAGGAAGCGATCTGAAACATTGTCCTTCACTTATTATTATAAAAAACACACCTAAAGAGCTAGAATTTTATTTCAGTCATAGATCGCAAGTCACACGAACATTTCATAATGGAACATTACGTGCTAATCGTACACGGCGTGGTAACGTATCAATAGGTTCACGAGATCATAATTCTGAACACACTTCCCAACGTTTAATAGAATATTTTATCAGTAATGGAAGTTAGTCGTTGTTTTAATAAAATATCACAATAAAGATTGAAATTGATAAATAATAAAAATCAAAATTGATAAATAATAAAAAAATAATGAAAAAAAAATAGAAATTGATAAATAATAAATAAATCATATTATTGCGAATTACGATTATTACAAAAGAGAAATTATCCTAGTTTTATTTCAGATTCATCACCTATTAATGAAGCTTGCCATTTCTCCAGCAATAATGCAATTTTCAACCAAAGACATGGAAAATTCCCAATCATTTATGCCACACCAACAGGAACCATCTCAGTTTTACTCAATAAAGGTGTTACAGTTGAGGTAATACTTTTAAAAAGCTTTTCAAATTCTTGAAAAAATATTTTCATATGAGAACATTATTGGAATTAGAGAAGAAAAAAAAATACTGATACAATAAAATTATTTGTAATTCGTATTTATTGCTAGTTTTTTTCCAAGAATTTTATTAATCAGTAATGTCATACACCTTTTAAGAGTTAATATTAATGAAATATTACATTTCGACCATTATTTTTTATAAAATCTCAGCATTCTTTCTTCTCACTTTTTTTTGTGACAATATTAATTTCAGATAACAGTTGATCGAGCTGTCCGAGTACTTTGCTACGATAAATTTTCGGTAAAAATAAACAAGACAGAAATATAAACCTTGAGGATTGCAGTCTAATATTTTGTTTAAATTAATGATGCTAAAATTAATCTTTTTAATGTATACTAACCTACAGAATGATAGTATTCAAATGTAGTAGGCAAAAAATCACATTTTGTAATTTAATTACTTAACCTAATTTAGGCAGTTTGCAATGGAAATGGTAATAGCTCATGCTTATTGCATAAGAAAGCTCGCATATTTCAGCAGGAAGAGAAAGTTTTCTGTAATTTCGGGTCAAACTGTAAGTTTGTCTTGCAAATAACATTGGTTAAATTAAAAATTGAAAAGTTTCAAATTTGTATTTAATTTTAGTAAATGAAAAAGCAGCAGTATTCGGTACACAGGGTGTATTATTCACGATGTCACATCTTACCGAAGCTTATTTGGTATCTTCGACAATTCTTAAAGGCACTTTGCCCATTTCTCTTGGACGTTTACAATTCCCAAGTTTGGATTATGATTTCACTGTGCATATGTTTTTCACTGATTCACAAAATGGTGATCAGGTCAAACTTTTCTTTCATACTTTTTTTTTTTTAATTCCTACAGAAAAGAAAAATTCGTTGAATCTTAACAAATTTCATAGTAGTAAACTAGAAATATTCAAGCATCAGTTAGAAAAATTTTTTTTTAATTTTAAGATGAATGGTAATTCAAAGGAATGAAAGAAAATTATTGAAAGTTTTTATTTAATTAACACTCCTAATTACTTATACAAATTTTAACTTTGTTATACAAACGTATTTTTGTGTTTTTGTGACATAAAAACATTCCTATTATTTTAGAGAGAAAAAAAGAAAGTAAGTATTTTGTAACTGAATAAAATAAAATAAAAAAATAAATGAGAAATATATAGAAAGAAAGAAAAATATTATGTATATAGAATATATGAGAATAGTACAAGAAGAAAATGAAAACTTTCTGGTGTTAGTTTATTTTCCACATTCTTTATAATGAGCAAAAGATAAAATATAACTGTAACTACATCATTTATAATGAAATACTCAATTAAATATGTGTATGAATTTAAATTCATATATAAATTAGAATTGTGTTTTATTCCAGTTCACAGAATTATGCAATGAAATTGCACAAGAAGCTCGTTACGGAACACGTGATGGTATTCTCACCATTACCATGAACGGTCCCTTTTTCCTTTTTAATTGGATTTATTTTGTATAATTTCTTGTTATATATTAGTTGTTTTCTACCATAAAACTTTATTTAAAATTAAGTATATTTAATTAATCTGATTTTGATCAATGTTTTATAAGTGAGAAGATTAAAAAAGTTGATTGTTTTAAGGAGTTTACATAAAGCAAAATGAACGCGGTGACGTGGAGGTGAACTGTCGTCCAAAACATATCAGCTGCTCACCACTTGATAATATCGTACATGTGCGCACAAATATGGTTGATATGGCTCTTCAAGTTAGCATTCACTTTTATAATCGTTATTATTGCAATTTTTATGATATTAGATAAAGTAAAATTTTGTCATTATATATATATTTTTTTTATCGTGCCTAGCTTAACTAATCAAAAATAACATTAAAGAATTTATCAGCAGAATTCGTCTGAGAACAATGATTTTTTAATGAAAAAAAGGAAAAAAAAATTCAAAAAAAAGGTATCCATGGTTGAATAGAAAGATTTGAAATATTTGTGGTAAATTTTGATTAAATAATCGTAAAAGAGTCTGTTTATTGTGTTATCTCAAAGTTCAAAGTTCATCCAAGTTTTTATAATTGTTAAAGAAAAATTGAAGGAAGATGATAAAGCATTTGTGAAGAGAGGACTGAAACGTGTTCACGTAAGTCGTAGTGGAATGGTTGTGTCCGATGGTAACTGCATAACCTCGATGGATCACTTCGGACATATCATCTCGTCAGCGTGAACAGTAATCACTTATCAGATAACCATCATTATTATTATCGTTATCACTGTCGCTATCACAATAGCACCTATCGTTGTTGTAATATATATTCACAGTATAATTTTCATTTCAAGTGTTAAAATTAAGATATCATAATTTATTACGACGTATTTTTCTGTTTATTATTCTGCTGAAATCAGTACACACAATTCATACATATTAAAATGCAAAAATTTGCATTTTAATTTAAATCATATTTCCTATAATTTTCTGCACCTATTATAATTTTGCTTGTTCCTCTTTTGCGCCCCATTTCTCGATTTATTCTCTCTTGCATTCGTCAAAACGCTTACTTTTGTCAAAAACAATCCTTTTATTTTTATGTTCCTCTTTAAATTATATTCTTTTTTTCTTTACATTTCGTTTTTTTATCTAAATAATAAAATATTCGGTTAACATTGAACTCGTTTTACTACAAAAGAAAACAAATTTAAGATATAGTTCGGAACTACTTAATTTTTTTTAACTTAGGGTAATAGCAATATATTCAATGAATGGTATAAAATAGAAGTTCGGTACAAAAATATTTTAATAACATGTTCCATACTAACTGTTTCCCGTGGTGTAGGCCGGGTAGAAGTGAATCAGGTTTTTGCGGTTCTTTTGATATTGAATGAATAGTTCCAGCATGTTTACATGGAATTTCCCCTATAATTGTACACAATTATAAACTTCTACTCTTGTTATCGAATCAAACTGTCCTACGATGATTGCTTAAATTTTTGATTATACACCTGAAAAAGTTTCGTATTGTTTAGTTTCTTCAACGGATTGTTTTGTAAACAATACTTTATGCATATCTGACGTAATTTCCTGCACAGCAGATAAAGACTTTTCGCTAAAATTTAATCTTCGTTGAATGACAAATCTAATAACAAATTAATGAAATTAAACTTATATTTGACTAAAATCTTTCATTTCAAATGAAAAAAGCCTTATATTTGATTAAAATCTTTCATTTCAAATGAAAAAAGCGCAATGTTGTTTTCTATTTGAAACTATTAATTAGCTGAAAATTTTGAATACTATTTGAAACTATTAATTTAGCTAATAGCATAACTTAAATTATGGAACTGATCAAAGAAACAGTAAATAAAAGTTAGATTAATTTTATTATTTTCTAAAATGTTTTCGAAATAATTATTTGCAAAATTTTTACTGTTTTCAATGACGCATTCTTTTTGAAACTGTTTCTACATTATCCAAATTTTCGTCAGCCTTAAGTGAAAATTGTTATTAAGCGATAATTTTTTATTCGATAAGTTGAATTGAATAAAAATAAAAAGGCTTAACAATGATGACAACAAGTACAGTAGTGGATGGTAAATATTTGCATATAAGAATAATTGAAATAATTGAGATAAAATTTACCAAAAAAAAAAAAAAAATTTTTTTCTTAAATGAAAGAATCATGGCTCCGTTAAATTTGTTGTAATGAGTGCAATAAGTAGATCGTGAAGAAATTCTCGGATATCATCAAAATTGAAGCGCATTCCGGAACTGCTTGGACATATCTGATTAAAGAATGCTGCTTCAGTGACATTTACTCCTGTCATCGGTATTATCAATTGCGCATCAACTATTACAGGACGTGATATTGAGGAATGCACAATGTTCATGCTTTTATGCTTACAACCAGTTGATGACAATTCTAAAATGCATGATATATTTTCAAATTATTCAGCACTGATTTTCAAATAATATTTTCATTTCACAATAGCATAATGTGTTTTTAAGGGACTAACAGATAATCTCTTTTTATTTAATTTTTAGCATTAACTTTTTCTTTATTAGATCACTTCATCAAGGATTATTGGTCATATAAAGTGATGTGATATTCTAAGTAGCACCTTTAATTGACATTTTTTCATTCATTCATCCTCTCACCTTTAGCAAGTAATTAATGGATTAATAAATAGCAGGTGTGCATATTGTGATTACTATATATATCACTCATAGGTATTTCTGATCTTATTTTTCTTTTCTTTCTCATCCCATATCTAAGTCTTACTGTTTTGCTTTTCTTCGATATACTTTCTTCTCGCTTGTTTGTCCAAAATGGAAATCGATGTGTTACTTTGCTACCGTTGACCTTTCCAAAACATAATTGCGTTCTTTCTTTTAGTACAATTTCAACAATCGCTTTTTTTCTTTTTTGTCCAAAAAAGAAAAACTCTTCTTTTGACTTCTTTTCTATTGTAATATAATTATAATTACTTCCCTTTTCCTCCTTCTTTCCGTCTCTTCTACTTTATCTTTTTTTTTATAATTCTATTAACTAAAAGTGAAAAATCGACTTAAAAAAATTCCGTGGTTTTTTCGGTTGTTTTATTCCTCAAACATTGTATGTATTTAGAATGTAAAAGTGCAAAAAGCAAACCGGTACTTCGGAAAAATGTTTCAGACAAAAGTATTCATGTAATTCGGGAAAATATTTCAGATTCAAATAGCAGGTTTTTTTTCCTACTTTTTTGAGAAGAAAGTAACCAGTGATTCAGAAAAATATTTGGAGCAGAAGGCAGTTGATCATTTGAAAAAAAAATAATGAAGAAAGCAAAACCGATAGTTCGGGAAAATATTTTAGACCGAAATGAATTAATGATTCAGAAGAATATTTTAAGAAGAAAGCAATGGATGAAATAAATTTTTTTCAAAACTAATTTGAAATATCCTTCGAAATGCTAATTTTAATATGCATAAAATGTACACATACTTTGAGTATTTTGAAATGAATGAATGTATGAAAAAGCGCAAATTAGTATTTATTGTAAATGGGAACAACAATAGCTCAGAGAACTTTGTTACACCACCGGGAGCTAATTTAATTTGTGTACAAATATGTTTTCCCAAAATGACGAAATGCCCACTTACTCATTTTATGGGCTTGGGAATTCTCAAATTTCCTTCATTCTCTTTTCACTATCATCTTTTTCCTCTTTTTCTTTTCTCTTTTCGAATTTCGAGGGATTACTTTGTTCGGTGATTTGTAAGTGAAAAAGAAAACGAAGGACGAGAAATGAATAAAGAAAGAAATTAGTCAGCTATCAGTTAAGTGCTACCATTTGTTACTCTCTATTGTAATTTGTAAAGACATTTCTTCCTCGCCCGGTGTATCTTTGATCTCTTAGAAAGGTAGCAAGGAGAAATATCGCAGAGTGAAAGAGGAAATTGCGAACTTCTTGTAATTATTGTCATGGATTCGTCATTGAATGAATTAAAAAATGAAATTTCGACCTCTAACTTTTTCATCTTTCTCTTTACCTCTCTATCTCTCTCTTTCTTCGCTCTTTTTCTGCTCTCTTTTACTGATAAATTAAAGCTAAATTACGAGAATAGTTTCATATTGTCATCATAAGTTAACAAATGACCAGAATTAATTGAAAAATAAAACCACTCAGATATTTTTTTTTGCCTTTTATACAAGTTTTCTGATTATTTGATTGTTCCAATAATAACTTTATTATCATTGTATTAGTAAGTTTATCATTTTATGATTTTAATTCAATGTAATATTTGATTGAAGTAGTACTAGTACCTAAACTTTTTTCAGTATTAGAAACAAAATTACAATGTTTTGTTAGTTTGAAGAAATTAGTGGTCAAATTTTTCTCACAAATACTTTTTCGATGGGATAATTGTTGATGTCTGTTGGAATGTTCAATCAACTGAAAGAAATTCTTTTCACCTTGATTTGATCAGTTCATTAATATCGTCATCATCACATGTACGATTTGTCCCATCTAGACAATATGTCACCATTATTATTTGTCACATTGTCTGCTGCCATTTTCTTTTATCTCTCTTTTATTCCTTGCTTTAACAACAAAACAAGAAAAAAGTAACTGTTTCTTTATTTATTTATTTTTCATTTCCAAAAATATGCTTACTCAAAACAAAACAAAAAAAGACGCTTTCAATCATATGTTTTTAAAAAAAGAAGTGCAGTTTTCTTTTTTCCCACTTTTTTCTTTCTTTTTTGTTAAAAAAACGAGACCAATGATATCATCGTTCAGTAATTAGCTAAATTAATTGAACTACAAAAGCTAATAGCGAAAGATTTTTGAGATAATTATTGGTTATTTGCAAAAGAGCAATGGATTAGAGGAAGAAATTGTAAAATCGGATGGAATTATTTTAGATAATTTGAGGAATTTTGTTGAATGTGATATCTGAATTGTTATAGTTTCTAGCTTTTTAAAATTATAATTAGCACAAAATATTGAATTTTGAAATTTGATCCAATCTTGAATAATCGGGGAAATTTTTTCAACTACTAAATTTTTAAATGGCCATACAGCAAAGTATTGCTGGCCTTGTAAAAATATTTAAATATAACCAAAATTCTGAAAAATTAAATTTGTGGATTTTTTTAAATTAATACTTGAAGAAAAAATTTTACCCAATGAAACTTTAAATTCATTGATGAAATATCAGACGTAAATGCTAGTGAAATAAAATCTGGAGTGATTAAGAGCAAAGGGATGAAGAGAAAATAAAGGATTAAAAGTGTTACTTAATTCACATCAATTTCATTCATTAAAATTAAATTATAACTACAAATTTCAAAAAATAAGAAAATTTCCATACACGATTATAATCAATACATCTCAATTAAGAATAATCAATCAATCATACAATTTTTATTAAACTAAATTTGATCATTATTATCAACATTCTGCAAAAAAAGGATGGGACATCATTCACTAGGTGACAATGACAAATTACTAGGAATTACTGTTTTTAGATTTTTTTTCCTACTCCGACAGTTTTCTATTTCATTTGTTCATAGGAATTGTAAAATTTTGTTAAATTTTTCTCTTCAATAATTTAAAGTTCCAAACTTATCAATTAATTTTATTCTATTCCTAAAATATAAAATATGGCTTAATTTTTGAACAATAGATTAAATAGCAATATTGATTGATTCAGCAGTAGCTTCATTTACCTCAATCTCTATTTCATGCTATTGTATAGTTTCAGTTCAAAAGAAACAAAACAAATGATCAATTAATCAGTCAATACGCTTATGATCTATTTATTAGCGTCAGAATATGAAGATTTCATGCCAAAAACTGTGAAAAAATGAAATTAGGAAGAAAAACAAAATAAGCTTTTAATATCCAGAAAGCAAAACTCAATTTCATTTTCTTGTTTTCTTTTTCCTAATATTTTTCCTTTTCTACTGTTAATATATGTATATTTATTAGAGTAATTCATAACAATCCTTTCTTCTCAAATGTTCAGTTTTCTTTCTTCTTTTCTTTCCTTCACTTCATCAAAAATTTCTTTTCAGATTTCTTTTCTTTTTCTTTCTCTCTTTCAGCAGAAAAAAAAATTCTGATTTGTTTGTTGATTAGCAACGAAGGTTGTGACATTATAGCAAGCACTAAGCACCAACGAACTTCGTTTTTTTTTTTTTTTTTTGTTTTGTTTTTTTAACACTTCAATTTATTATTTTCAGAATGGCAATACTGTCAAATTTACTCCCCAAAAATTTTCCTAATTAATTTATCTTAATTAATTCATTCTCTATCTTATTCGTTCAATTCCATCATCCAATTCGACTCTATCGTTTCATATCACTTCGCACTAGGGAATATTTTGAAATTGCAAACTGATTAAAAATTAATATTTATTGAATTATGAATTTTAGAAAAGTGCGAAAAATAAGAATTATTCTCAGACTGTCGTATTTATCTTATTTTTTTCATGTTAAGTAATAATTGATTCGGATGCAATTGTCAATGTATGCAGAATTTAAGTTTTATTATAATTACTTAAAATTTTTTCTTTTAATG